AACATTTACAAGATATTATCACAAAGTCATACATACTTAACTAATCACAAAATATGTTAGACTTCGTATCCCTAAAAATCAGCTAAACCACTCCAGGTAGTTGACCAAACATCTGACACCTTCTAAATCAGCTCTAAATCATCGACCTCTCTCAGGTCACATAATGCATCTAATTGCATGCTCATTTGGTCGCATGGATTCCATCTTATATCGCTTCCAAGTTGCATTACCTCCTGGTCGCTTCTTTAAGATCGCATGCACATTATGTCGCATGCTCTCTAGATCTTTACCGATCACATCTATCTTTAGGTCACGTCCATCTTAGCTTGCACATTTGATCGCAAGCTTTAGATCGTGTAACCCTCGGATCGCATCATCATGTAACCCTTAGATTGCATCATCATGTTTCCAGCAAGTTATCACTTGCTTTAACAGATGTCAAATCCTTCTATACAATAGGTTATGAAAATTGGGAACGGGTTAAACTTCCTTTAATTCAGCAAAACCATAAGGATTTCAAATTGAAGTACCTTATATCTATGGATGCACTATGTGAAACTGTAAACTTTAATTAAATAGCAAACAGCAAAGCACAGACACCAGCTTGACTTGGCCTCTGTCTGTGCAAAATAAGAGAAGGGAGAAAATAAGGTTAAAGTTATTAATGAATCAATCAATAAGAGTATAAAGCTGGATTAGGCATTACATATTGAGTCCCTACCATAAACAATATTTCATCGCTATGCATTATCTCTCAATTTGATTTTAACTATTATTATTTATTCTATAATCTTACATCACTTGTAAAATGAGATAACATAAACTTCTTTAAGGGAATGCCAAAGTTCCGATGACAATTTAAAATAAAAAGACAAAAAAAATAACAATAACAATAAAAAACGATTTTAGAATCTATTTAAAAAAGGGTAATTGTATAAATCCTAAAAGACCGTCTAGCTTCATCTAATGCCCAATATTATTAGAAAGTATTATAAACTCTCTATCATTGTAATGGCCACTTTATTTCCCCTTCTAAACGGTGGTAATTACTGAGTTTTATCCAGGTTAGCTTTGGCAATGCAGGCTAAGGTTGGGGGGACGCGGCAATAATTACTGAGTTTTATCCAGGTTATAGCTTTGCCAATGCAGGCTAAGGTCGGGGAGATGCGGCAACTCTCTAGTAGCCATGTGTCGAGCCCAAATTTACCAGGAAATATATATCTATATGTTTAAGTGAATAAATTCTCCACTGGAAATCAAATGATTGTAAAATTAGGATTGTGCATAAAAATTTGTTTCTTATACTTCGTTAAGGATATGATGTATCCAATGACTACAACTCCTAATTAATTAACATCTTTGTTTGTCCAAATCTTCTGTTTATTCTTTTTCTTAGTAATGAAAACTTACATAATTGAAAGAAGTTTCAATGAACACNATGCTATTTATCTATTGAGTTTCATTCTTGTCTTTTATATGGATGCTTATGTTATGAATTCATAAAGACTAGAAACAGATACAGAATCTATATTCAGAACTTATCGAGAAGTATAATTTATCTGCTGATCAATGTTTATCAATGCTGCTTACATACAATAATCTGGTTAATATAGACTGATTAAATATTTGTTTATATATTGATTCCTCAGTATGGTGTGAAAATACTGTAAAAGATTGTTTGATATGAATAGGCTCAATAGTGCTACATGAATTAAGCAATGTGCATATATTGAGTCGACAATGACATGATTTAACATTGCTTGCATTCATCTTATTATGAATTCTGTTTGCTTAGGAATTTGATTGTCTAACAATATGACAATGTAGTTGTGGTTCCATAATTCAACAATGTCTTGGAATATGTATAAGATCTTCCTTGTTTTTATTTGTAACAAAAACTTAATGCTATAAATTGGTTTAAACTTACAGTTGGTTTTGGGAGGGCCGTTTCTACCACACATTGAGTGCATTCTTCGTGATAAAGCATTGTCAATGTGTTCACCAGTAGTATCAACATCTGATGCCGGAATCAGAGCTACCATAAATGGACTGAGTTTGTTTTATGATAGACCTTGTCAAACTTGTGACATAACAATACAAGTTGAGAGAGACTTTCAACTTGTATTCTCTTGAAGCCTTACTTTTGGAATACAATAAAGCTTTTTTTAAATTTACTTTTACCATCTATTTTCAATTCTCAATTTGTATATATTATTTTAACTTTTTTTTATTACGATAATTCTCCATGCAGTCCCTTGACTTATTTGATGTGTCCCTGTGCATGATTGGAAGTCACCAACTTCAAAATGCTTTGACTGCAGCATGTGCAGCACTCTGCCTTCGTAATCAAGGTTGGTACTTAATGTTGTTTATGCCCTATGGTCTATTCATTTCACTGGGGAACATTCATGTAGAATGGAGGTTTTCCTTTCAATAGATAGTAGTTCTGCCAATGTTTAGATATGTAGTTTGCTTTGTTAGGATTATGGATAACCAAAACTTACCTCTATACTCTGGCACATAGGCTGCAGCCTTTGGAATGATGCACCGTTTATTACAGACTTACAGTTAAAGAATTCCTATTTAGCTGGGACATCTAAACAGCCTTTTGTGTTATGTATTGTAAGGATTCAAATAGGTTTTCCTAATCATTTTCCTCCCATGCTTTTGTCTCAACTATATCAAATTACATGTTCACTGGTTGTGCTCTTATCCAAGTTCTTTGATTGACACTTTCAATTGGGAATACCTTATAAGAATCATTAGCAAGCAGCGAGGCAAGCCTGAGATAATGGTGAAATTAAAATTGTTTAGTCAGTTCTAAGTAAGGCTCTGTCATGTTAAGTTTATTATTGAGTCCCTTAGATGACTTCTCAGTTTCTGTTGATACTTCTATGGCTATCTCAGGATGGAAAATTTCAGACAGATCTATCAGGGCTGGTTTACAGAGTACATGCTTGGTTGGACGAAGTCAGTTCCTTACACCCAAGGAAGCTGAGACTTTAGGATTACCTGGAGCTACGATACTTCTTGATGGAGGTGATTTTTACTTTCTCACTGTTATTGCACTTTAATCCATTTTCAGCATGTAATTCATGTTGGGTCTGATTGGATACTGTCCATAAGAACGCTTACTCATCTGTTGAATGAATGTGGAGTCTATTTTTTTTGTTTTTTTCGTGTTTTCAATAGGTATTAAGTATTGCATTCTAGTTTGAAATCAGATAATCTTTGGCATAGTTCTCTTATTTACAGTTTCTCTTTTGTGAATGTCTTTTATGGCTGCCATAACAATTGGCAATCTCTCTAATTAGAATCATGATTGTTTCAACTTTTACGTTTTGCAGCGCACACTAAAGATTCTGCTAAAGCTTTGGTGGACACAATACAAATGACCCTTCCAGAGGCAAAATTGGCCATCATTGTAGCAATGGCTAGTGACAAGGATCATTTAGCATTTGCAAGAGAATTTCTTTCAGGTATAGATCACAGATTTTGCCATATCTAATGTAGCATAATGGTAAAACATTAGAAACAACAATGGATTGCTGGATGGTCTCACTAAGTCCCGTAAAGAATGAAACTTGAATCTATTTATCTCTGGGTTGGTAGACAGAAAGTAATTTTCTAGTTTGTCATATTAGGGAACATAACTTTAGTCCCTGTCATTCCTGGGATGGTGAGAGGGGATTCAGACATGTCTCGGTAGTTGGTAATCCAACTGTCCTAGTTCTCTAGCTAGGATTGCAACAAAATCTGTTTATAATAACCTACTCAAGCTTGCATTTTTTTAGGGAAGGTCTAATCTAGATCTCACCGTGTTTCTCCAGGTAGAAAATTAGAGGCAGTTTTCCTAACAGAAGCTGATGTTGCTGGAGGCAAGACCCGAATAACTCCAGCGTCTGTGTTAAGGGGTTGTTGGATACAAGCTTCCCAAGAATTGGGGATCAATATTGTTCATGATGGACTGGCAGAGTATCAAGACTTGTTGCAGGATCCATCAACTTATTCTCCAAGGGCATCTGAAAACAGTACCTTAATTGCTGGTGAGTATTCGTTAGCAGTTTCCATGAAGGTTGCAAATCAGATTCTTAGGACAAAATCAGACAACCAAACAGGTATTCTTGTAATAACTGGATCTCTACATATTGTATCGTCAGTATTAGCTTCCCTTCACAATTGAAGTTATTTGCTTTCATTTTGCTCGAGTACTCTACAGAAATATTGTTCTGCTAGTTGCATTGATCATGGCTTCTAGGAATCAAACTATTTGTTCGCAGTTTGGGAAAAACTAACAGAACTACAGATATATTGCATTTATATAACATTCACTTGGACTGTCCTAGTTGCGGGCATACTATCAACCATAATTTTACTTATAATAGTTTGATTTGTGAAAGGTAAAAGTAATAACCTTTAAGGTGACCATTACTATTGGGGTAAAAATCCCTGACCTCCAGCTTTTTCACTTTTTTGTGATATAAAATGTTCATCTCTTCAAAAGTCCTTATTTTTCTGATTTCTTTCATGCTATTTATCTATTGAGTTTCATTCTTGTCTTTTATATGGATGCTTATGTTATGAATTCATAAAGACTAGAAACAGATACAGAATCTATATTCAGAACTTATCGAGAAGTATAATTTATCTGCTGATCAATGTTTATCAATGCTGCTTACATACAATAATCTGGTTAATATAGACTGATTAAATATTTGTTTATATATTGATTCCTCAGTATGGTGTGAAAATACTGTAAAAGATTGTTTGATATGAATAGGCTCAATAGTGCTACATGAATTAAGCAATGTGCATATATTGAGTCGACAATGACATGATTTAACATTGCTTGCATTCATCTTATTATGAATTCTGTTTGCTTAGGAATTTGATTGTCTAACAATATGACAATGTAGTTGTGGTTCCATAATTCAACAATGTCTTGGAATATGTATAAGATCTTCCTTGTTTTTATTTGTAACAAAAACTTAATGCTATAAATTGGTTTAAACTTACAGTTGGTTTTGGGAGGGCCGTTTCTACCACACATTGAGTGCATTCTTCGTGATAAAGCATTGTCAATGTGTTCACCAGTAGTATCAACATCTGATGCCGGAATCAGAGCTACCATAAATGGACTGAGTTTGTTTTATGATAGACCTTGTCAAACTTGTGACATAACAATACAAGTTGAGAGAGACTTTCAACTTGTATTCTCTTGAAGCCTTACTTTTGGAATACAATAAAGCTTTTTTTAAATTTACTTTTACCATCTATTTTCAATTCTCAATTTGTATATATTATTTTAACTTTTTTTTATTACGATAATTCTCCATGCAGTCCCTTGACTTATTTGATGTGTCCCTGTGCATGATTGGAAGTCACCAACTTCAAAATGCTTTGACTGCAGCATGTGCAGCACTCTGCCTTCGTAATCAAGGTTGGTACTTAATGTTGTTTATGCCCTATGGTCTATTCATTTCACTGGGGAACATTCATGTAGAATGGAGGTTTTCCTTTCAATAGATAGTAGTTCTGCCAATGTTTAGATATGTAGTTTGCTTTGTTAGGATTATGGATAACCAAAACTTACCTCTATACTCTGGCACATAGGCTGCAGCCTTTGGAATGATGCACCGTTTATTACAGACTTACAGTTAAAGAATTCCTATTTAGCTGGGACATCTAAACAGCCTTTTGTGTTATGTATTGTAAGGATTCAAATAGGTTTTCCTAATCATTTTCCTCCCATGCTTTTGTCTCAACTATATCAAATTACATGTTCACTGGTTGTGCTCTTATCCAAGTTCTTTGATTGACACTTTCAATTGGGAATACCTTATAAGAATCATTAGCAAGCAGCGAGGCAAGCCTGAGATAATGGTGAAATTAAAATTGTTTAGTCAGTTCTAAGTAAGGCTCTGTCATGTTAAGTTTATTATTGAGTCCCTTAGATGACTTCTCAGTTTCTGTTGATACTTCTATGGCTATCTCAGGATGGAAAATTTCAGACAGATCTATCAGGGCTGGTTTACAGAGTACATGCTTGGTTGGACGAAGTCAGTTCCTTACACCCAAGGAAGCTGAGACTTTAGGATTACCTGGAGCTACGATACTTCTTGATGGAGGTGATTTTTACTTTCTCACTGTTATTGCACTTTAATCCATTTTCAGCATGTAATTCATGTTGGGTCTGATTGGATACTGTCCATAAGAACGCTTACTCATCTGTTGAATGAATGTGGAGTCTATTTTTTTTGTTTTTTTCGTGTTTTCAATAGGTATTAAGTATTGCATTCTAGTTTGAAATCAGATAATCTTTGGCATAGTTCTCTTATTTACAGTTTCTCTTTTGTGAATGTCTTTTATGGCTGCCATAACAATTGGCAATCTCTCTAATTAGAATCATGATTGTTTCAACTTTTACGTTTTGCAGCGCACACTAAAGATTCTGCTAAAGCTTTGGTGGACACAATACAAATGACCCTTCCAGAGGCAAAATTGGCCATCATTGTAGCAATGGCTAGTGACAAGGATCATTTAGCATTTGCAAGAGAATTTCTTTCAGGTATAGATCACAGATTTTGCCATATCTAATGTAGCATAATGGTAAAACATTAGAAACAACAATGGATTGCTGGATGGTCTCACTAAGTCCCGTAAAGAATGAAACTTGAATCTATTTATCTCTGGGTTGGTAGACAGAAAGTAATTTTCTAGTTTGTCATATTAGGGAACATAACTTTAGTCCCTGTCATTCCTGGGATGGTGAGAGGGGATTCAGACATGTCTCGGTAGTTGGTAATCCAACTGTCCTAGTTCTCTAGCTAGGATTGCAACAAAATCTGTTTATAATAACCTACTCAAGCTTGCATTTTTTTAGGGAAGGTCTAATCTAGATCTCACCGTGTTTCTCCAGGTAGAAAATTAGAGGCAGTTTTCCTAACAGAAGCTGATGTTGCTGGAGGCAAGACCCGAATAACTCCAGCGTCTGTGTTAAGGGGTTGTTGGATACAAGCTTCCCAAGAATTGGGGATCAATATTGTTCATGATGGACTGGCAGAGTATCAAGACTTGTTGCAGGATCCATCAACTTATTCTCCAAGGGCATCTGAAAACAGTACCTTAATTGCTGGTGAGTATTCGTTAGCAGTTTCCATGAAGGTTGCAAATCAGATTCTTAGGACAAAATCAGACAACCAAACAGGTATTCTTGTAATAACTGGATCTCTACATATTGTATCGTCAGTATTAGCTTCCCTTCACAATTGAAGTTATTTGCTTTCATTTTGCTCGAGTACTCTACAGAAATATTGTTCTGCTAGTTGCATTGATCATGGCTTCTAGGAATCAAACTATTTGTTCGCAGTTTGGGAAAAACTAACAGAACTACAGATATATTGCATTTATATAACATTCACTTGGACTGTCCAAGTTGCGGGCATGCTATCAACCATAATTTTGCTTATAATAGTTTGATTTGTGAAAGGTACAAATAATAACCTTTAAGGTGACCATTACTATTGGGGTAAAAATCCCTGACCTCCAGCTTTTTTTTTTTTTTTTTTTTGAAATAATCACTTAAGAGGGCAATTATGCAATTTTAATCAAACATTTTCTAACCTTTGTAAAGATTCATCACTCACTACCCCAAAGCTTAACCTCTGTCTACATTTCGTTAAAATACTTTTGGGAGGAGGTCGATTAAAATCGAGAACATTTGAGTGGTCAGTACTTTTCTCCAACATCTTAAAGTTTAGTTTAAGTTGTCATAGAGTCAAATGATGGTGGTGTCCTGATGGGGAAGTAGACAGGGTTTTGCCTTTGGAGTGGTGAGTGATTAAGTTTTGCGAAGCTAGCTTTAGGGTGTTTGACTAAAATTGTTATCGTTACCTCCGAGTGATTATTTCAAAAAGAAGTGGGAGAAGGCAGTGATTTCTGCCCTTACTATTGGCACAAACTAGGTAAATAACATGGGAAATATTTGGTAAAGAGCTATACCCAGTTGGTTTATCCACATCACGACCATCTATTCTATATAATTGTTTGGAGGAAGCAGCATAGCAAGCAGGAGTTATTGCTCAAACTTCATCATTCATCTTCATTGAAATAACATATTCTTACCCTCTCATTACATTCACCGAAGTGAAAAAGGATAGCATGCATAGTTTGTCTGAGACCATGACCATATCTAACAGATAATGTTAACAAAGGAGCATATCATGAACTCAATTGCTCATCTTAAGCTGACACAAATAAAAATGGTTTTAGGGACACATGAAAGCTGAGTCGGAAGCAAGAGTCAGAGTGATCTTGATGGGACCGCAGCAAATTCAATCAAAATTCAGACACAGCACATCCACAAAATCAAGAAAAATGATCTGTCTATTCCTTATTCTAATTGCCTTAATATACTAGTGACCTTTACCCATATTCCTGCCACATACTCTATTGCCACTTACATTTCCTCTAACTGAATCCTACTGGCATAACAACTTTTAGAGACCACCTTTACTGTTGATTCACACGTCTCACACCCTTCTGCCCTTGTTCCCCTTGTATTGATAAACCTTATTGATAGGGGGCCATCAGATCGTCAGTTTTATCCTCCCTATTGATTTTCTGCTGGACTAGCAAATAAAGCAGCAGGATGAACATACAAATTAATGTTAAGTTGAAGAGGGTCCTTGTGCTTCTTCTTGTTTTTCCCTTGGAACAAACCCATTCTTCTTTGGATTCATGGGTAGGAACTGGAACTTGAAAATGAATTCAATCAACAGAATGATCACTAGCTGATATTTGATTTGTTTGAGCGAGATTTATGCAACCAAGCTTACACAAAATCTCCTGTTGTAGCATCATAGAGTCTCTCTTCAGCAGTAATCAGCATTCTCCCTTTGTTTTGAACTTGAAGAAATGTAAGGGAAATTCACAATAAACTCTATTACAGTGTTGCATAAAACCAGCTGAATCACTAGAAGCTACAACAAAAACAATGAAAAGAAAATAACATAACATAACATAAATACAACCGTATTACCTGGTTAAAAAAAATGGGAAATTTTCAAGTTTGATGGTACTTTCTAAATCATTTTTTGATGTATGGCGGTAATCTTTCCCGAAAATCATTGGGTTGTTGGCAATGGATATCTGCCACAGGCTCTGCAGGGAAACGAGTCCTATCTTCCATGCTTATTTCCGGTGCCTGCAGAACCAATTTATGGAAGCATGAGAAATAAATTACAAAAGAAACCAATGTATTTATAAAACGAAATGAATTATTGACATCAGGACCTTTGCTTGGGTGTGCCAAAGAAAATCTTGTAGCTATCTTGGGACATTCTCGAACTCTTAACTGTCTCAAAGATGCAAATATGACGTGATAACCACCGACAGGGCAAACATTGATGAGGCTTGGCAATCTTCTGAGTGACAACTTTTGCAGTTGTGGCAGCACGATTTGTTTGAGTTCCATGACATTTGCTCCATCCTTCTGGCCAAAAACTCCTTCTAATTGAAAGCATCCCACTACTTGTATCAGTTTTAGTTGTCGAAGATCTCAGGCTAGGGTGACAGGAAACAAATGTTTTTAACTTGTGGCACCATTCAACATAAATAGATAAGAGACTTAGAAAGAATACAGGTTGGAGATGTCGCTTCGCTAAGGTTTGGTTCTCGTCATCATCTTCAAAAACAAGTTGTTGGAAAAAATTTCAAACACACCAAGAAGGACAAACAGCAAGTAGCCGCACAGAAGAGTGAGATAAGCAAGGAAGCCGTGAGGCGGCATGGAGTCTAGCATTCCCTCTCTAGTCCCCGCGCTGCAGCCTGATCTTTCTTCTCATAAACCTCCCTGCTTTGCCTCTCAATCCCATATCTACTACTTAGTCAAGCCCTTCCCTACTATATCTTATAAGAAGTCTTCTCTCTGTTCTACTTTTTATAATTGCCTTTCCGGGTACACAAAGCTAAGAAATTATTCTCAATTGTATAAGATTTTGAAAAAGAGTACAAAAGAATTTCATCTCAGCTTGGGGCAGTGCTTTGCTTCTAAAATAGTAAGATTTTGCAGGGTTAAGATATGGTTGGGACCCTTGGACAAAACTTTTAGCTCTTGTAGATTTTTCAGCTCTAGTTCCTTCAAACTTGGAAGTGATAATTTATGCGCTTGTGCATCAACATTAGGACCCTCCGTTTGAAAGACAACTCTCACTCCACAATTGGTAATAATATTCCAAAATTTTGAAGCCTTATCTCAAACCACTGAGAATCCTGTAGCACAACTTGAAAATTGAAACAGTGAAAAACCCTTTAGCATTGAAAGGTATAGTTAAATTGGAACAATGGTCGACTGTGAAGTCTTCCACAGCTGGCCCAGATGAACAAAAACCTTCTGGACAGAAGCTGAAGACATTTGTTGGCCCAGAAAGTGTTAATTCTCTTAATTTTGGGAGCGCAACATCTCTTGCAGCCACACTTTGCTCTCTTCGATGATCTAGATAAAAGACTTGCTTTAATCAAGGGGCGGTTTTTATGGTAATCTGTTCAAGACGTACAAGACCTGGTGCAATAGAGTTAGGAAAGTATATTCCAATTGCTCACATGAACTTATGTTGATATACGCTAATTTTGATCATATGTCCTGCCTCTGGTCATTATCACCTTCTCTTATAATCAAATACTCCAAACTCTCGCAACTACTTACCGTTACTGCTTTTAACAACACCAAGCTTCGAGCAAGCGACAGTGAGAAGAGATACGCCAAGCTTTTGCACTCGACCACTTCAACGTCTACAAGACTTCAATGGGTCCTTTCCATAGATGCCTCAGTTGAGGTAGCTTTTCCAAGGATAGCTTTGCTCAACTTGGTAGGAGCACACGATTTTCTTTCCCAATATGACACAACCCTTCAAAATCAAATTTTCAGTTCTTTCAATTTATGTAGCCGAAGAAGCAACTTCGTTGAAAGTAAACTACATATCTCATTGCATTCAGTTACATGTATAGTTTACAATGTTTCTAGAAACCTTGCTACAAGCTTCCACCAACCATAGCATATTTCTCTCATAAGGATCAAATTTTTAGAGATAATTTAACCAAATTAGGGAATGCATTTGCTGGCACATCATTCTTTGTCATGTCTAAGACATATTCCAAGTAATTAAAATCTATGAGCGTAAGCGACTTCAACTCATTTAAACCCCCTTGATCAATGCGTGGGACGATATTTTGGCAACCCCTTTGGTTTCATCAAATGAAGATATTCTACATATCGATACAACGCTTTAAGTGCAATTAATGAGGTTGCTTCAATATCTCTGATCCTTGAAGCCCTTGTGACTGGATATGATCCATAATTGTTAATGTTCACACTGATATCATGCTTCAGCAACTTGGGGAAAGCAAAATATTCTGGAAGACATTTAGCATTTATATTCAAAAACAAGATGGCCAAGCAAGAGAGTGAATCCAGTTCAGATAAGCAACCTCCAATTTTTAAAGCTCTTGTTATCAATATATAATTCTTCTAGTTGAAAAAATTCTTCTTACCACATTGAAGAGAATACTTTCCAGCCGGTGACAGCAACACAAGTCTAGCATTCTTAATTTACTAAGTTCCCCTAGTTCTTCTGGGAATTCATGAAACCAGGAATGTTTCGAGACTAAGAAACTTGCGTCTGTTCAACTTTCCAAGGTAAGTGATGTCTCTCAAAGTTGCAATGAAACAAATCTAGGGACTTCAGATTTGTTAAAAACTGCGGTAACTTTAGCGACAGGTCTACATAGCGTAGAGTTACAACTTTGAATGCCTTCATCTCTTTAAACCATTCATCTGAAACTTTCATCAAGTTCTTATGATCTTTACCATCCAATATCAGAATTTCAAGTTTTGGACAAACCAAACCAATAGGAAGCACTTCTATTTGGTTGGACATCGAAGAGATTGCCGTGTATTGTTCCCAATCCTCCTCTTTTGGCCATTCTATCAAATCCCATGCCAGCCTTACTCGTGATTGGGGTGTGCATGGGTAGCGGGTAGAACCGGAACTAACACTGTACGAGTAGGTTCTAGGTCCAATATTTTGGAACTGTTACTGTACGAGTCCGGTTCCAGTTCCTATATGTGTAAGAACCAGAACTTGTGATGAGAACCTGAAATGGGTACCTAGGTGGGTACTTGAATGGAACCTGTCTTGGAACCGAGTATGGGTTTCCAAGCAGGAAACTGTATTGGAACCTAGATTTAAAAAAATATCAAAAAAGAATTGGGG